ATTTGACGGTCATGCTGGTGTGTTGTTGTGGGTTGCCATAGAATTGGTTGCAACTCCTGATGACCTTGCGTGCACAGAGTAGAATTCCTCCACGGGCTTTCAAGGAAGGCTGTGGCCTTTCGGAAGGAGATGGGTCCCTCTGTCTTCTGAAGTGCCTCTGGGTAGGCTTGAACCACCAAACTTTCAGTTAGTGGACAAGTTCTTAACCATCTGTGCCGCTCAGAGACTTCAGTACAAAATTGACAAGAGTATATTTCTGAGGCTATCAGTGGTTTCAGTGGATACTCTTTAAGTTGTCTTCTGTTTGCTACCTTGGGTCTGATGGCTTCAAATGTTTCCCTTCTCGTTGTTTGGCTTAAAAGTGCTCTTTCTGGCTACAGGGACTCCTCCTTTGACGGTTGTTTCACAGTGAAGACAGGCGCACTGATGAACAACGGAAGCTCTGGGTAAACAGTGTTCGAGTACATGCTTCACTCAGCGTTGATCAAGGGCCTAGCCGTGTTGAGAGCATCTCTTCTGTCAATATCTCTAGGTTTTCATAGGACTAGTTTTTCCCAGAGTCTACTGATTTCCAGCCAGCTGGGGAGAGCGAAGGGAGGCATCTCAACAAGCTGGCCTCAAGCACCTCTTAAAGAGGGCACTGGGGTGGTGGTGATGGTAAAGGTGGCAGTGGGGAGGGAAACCTGATCATTCAGAAGAATGTTCACGGAAGCCCCCTTTGTCCAGCAAAGTCCCACCTCCCACCTTAAGCTGGGCCTGAGGAGGAGACCCTTCAGTCTTCGGTGTGGGCGAGGGGGTGGCTGACAACTGGTGGGAACGGGGATTCAAGTTGTAGCCAAACCTTCTTTAGACAGATTTCCAAATATCTCTCCTTGCACAGCCGCACCCCACCACCCCACCTTCAGAGTTACTTGGTGCCTCCAATTCCAGAGGCTTTCTGGGGTTTAGGGCTTCCTCTCCAAATCAGCTTCGAAGTAGATGTCCATCTGCCTCCGTCAATCCTTGGCTGTCATCACTTGCCTCCTTTTCTTTATCTGCGAGGACAAATACACTTATTTGTAAGGGAAGAAAGAGGGTTCCAAGAGGGGCGGAAAGCACATGCATGTCTTTCAGCTGCTGTGGTACATAAGAAGTCACTTTTCTTGACCTCCTGTCACTGAAAGAATAAACAAATGCATTGCAAAACATTTTAAAAGAAAAATTTATTGGGGAAGCGAATGCCATCAAATAAGATAGGAAATTATTTTAAAGGGCAATGCCTTCAATTCAGGAGAAACTCACAACTAGCTAAGGTGACCAGATTTTAACATTGGTAAAGCGGGACAAAAGCAGGACACCTTTGATAAAACTCATATCCTGGCGAAATAGCCACATGGCAGCTGAAAACCGTCTACCCTAGCTTGTCGTGCATTCTTTTAAAAATCGGGACTTTTTTTTTTAATCGGAACTTTTTAAAAATGCCTTGGGACGTGGGAAAAATTGTTAAAAATCAGGGCTGTCCCGCCAAAAGCGGGACGTCTGGTCACCTTAAACCAGACAAGCCCAAAGGGCTAAGAGAGCATCAACCTGGATGAATCTCACTTGGTAGAGCAGAAGCCAGCTACCAAGTTCAAGAGCATCCAGGGTAAATCTCTGGTGACAGAAGTCACAGTAGCAGCTAACGCCAAGTGATTGTTGACTGGGACGTGGGCTGGCTGCGGGAAATGTTCTTTATCTTGGTGTGGCTACCAGGGACATAGGTTTATATATATGCACACATCCGTTCAGCTAAACATTTCAGATCTGTGCACCTGATATGCTTTATTATGTGCGTTGCATGCCCACTACATGATATAAAGGGAAAGAAATTTTCATGTCTTAAGTACTTACCGGATAATAGGCACTGGCTAGGTCTGCACTTGAAAATCATTACTCATTCGTTTAATAAACACCACGAGGTACTGTGGATGCAGCATTGAACAACCACAACAAAACCACAGACACACACAACACACCCCACTCGCCGCAAGGTGCTCTTGGGTATCCGGGGAGATAGTCACACAGGTAGACGTGACATGAGCACAGGGGACACGCTGGACGTGCAGTAAGGAGTGTCCGAAAGACACCCCCCACCCCCGAAGAAGTGAAGCTTAAACTGAGTTCTAAAGGATAAGGTAGCATTAACCAGCCAAAGAGGGAGAGGGAGGGCATTTTATACTAAAGCATAACATCTGCCACGGCCGTGTGGTGGTGGGACATGTGGCACTTGAAGGGGTGCAGAGGGCAGGGCCAGGCAGAAAGGAATCTACCTGATTAGGGTTTTGCATCTAGTGCGCCCACGGAAACGACACCATCACGTGTGCGACACAGGAGTACACACGGGATGAGTTGTACGTGGCTTGCAAAACTGCTATCAGGGGTACATGATTTGGATAATCACACAGGAACCCTCACAACGACTCTTTTCATCTGGGAAAACTGAGGCTCAGAGAGGTTATGGGGTTCCCATGACGTCATCGCACCCGTGTAGCTGGGATGGGAATCTGGCTTGGCCTGACTTCCCCTCTGCTCATGGAGCCAGAGTTGGATTGTGAGTCCGAGAGGCTGCCTGAGTCCAGCCAGGCAGGACAAGAAGCCGGCGGTAGCTGCCTGCCAGTCGCCCTGACAGTTTCCCGGCTCTCAGCCCCACAGGGTCCATGGACAGGAGTGGCCATGAGGCCTTGCCCAGAGGAGCACTACTGGGACGCCCTGCTGATCACCTGCGTCAACTGCAAGTCCATCTGCAGCCGTCGGAGCCAACGCATCTGTGCGGCATTCTGTAGTGAGTTCCAGAACGGAGGCCAGGGCAGGGGGTGGCACCCTTGCAGTTGGGTGGTCAACCAAAAGGTACAAGGTGGCAGCTTCTCACTCTTGCCGCTTTCTGCTCTGGTCACACTGACCTCCTTTCATTTGCTTGCTTTCTTTTTCCGTGACAATATTTTATTGTCAACTAGATGATTTTATTGTCAATTAGGTAGGGCTTTACCTTTCTGGTCATCTACTTGGTCTTAAACAGTTCAAACTACGGATCCAAGCTGCCCCCAACAGTTACCCTTCACCCGCTCCTTGATTTCTCCCCTTTCAGTTCCCTGGACATGAGGCTTCTTTCCTGCCTTGGCCTTGGCCTCGGCCTCTTCCACCAGGCTTCTTTCTTTCGGCCTCCTCCTGGCCAAACCTCAGGTCTCCGCCCAGCTGTTTCTTCTCCGCAGGGGTCTTCTTCGATTGCCCAATCGAAGGTCCGCTTTCCTTGGCATGCTTTTGTTTAAAATTTTTCTTTTGTATTATTTGAGTATAGACATGATCAGACATTCCCAAAACATGGATTGAATCGCAGGATCAACCCCGTCTAGCCATCACCAGCTGCAGAATCATAAAAATGCCACCTTTTGATTCCTTAAATTTACTTTTTTGTTTTGGCCTTTGTGTTTTAAATAAATCCATTCTCCCGCTATGCCTGTGTGGCAGAGCAAGAGGCCACTCGTGTTTGTGTGACTTTGAACTCTGGGCTCTAACCACCTGCTGTCTTGTTTCTGAGATCTGTCTTTAAAGCCTTGTGTTCATCAAGCTTTTTAAAGGAAGCTCTTTTTTTAAAGACAAGGGAAACGTACCCCGAAAGTGGAAACATTCTGAGCCTTTTCACAAAGTGACTCATTGTTTCCCATCTAGTTCTTTTTTACAGAGTCTTATGGCAAGACCCCAAGGAAGTAGGACTAGACTAATTTTCTTGGATTCTGCTCTTTGGCATTGATACCGACAATTTTCATGTACTAATAAGACAGAAGAAACACGGTTAATGTGAGCTTTCCCACCTTTCTTCCAGCCCCTTCCTCAGAGTGGCCCAAGAAGATGCTAGCTTTTCCTTCCCCATTCCTTTTATTAGTATGAAATAGGTTTTCCTTGATGGGTGTGAAAGATGCCAGTCAAGATTAATGTAATTAATCTCAATATCAAATTTAAAATTTGATATCAAATTTAAAAAGCTAACTGGTAAATCTTTATACATTTGGAAACTAAGACATGTTGTTTTAAATAATCTATTGGGAAATTTTATATAATCTATAGATTAAAGAAGAAATAAAAGTAAAGAAATGACACGTAAAATAATATTTTGAACTAAAATCAGTGAAAAGGCTACATATTAAAATATGTGGGATACAGCTAAAACAGTATTTGGAGGACAATGTATAGCCTTACAGTTATATGTTAGAAACATACTTGAATTTCTCTGGAGTTGCTTTTGGTAATAGAACTCTGGTTTAAAACAAACAAACGAACAAACACAGCACTTTGATACCTTTTGCAACACAGCTCCTGCAAGTCTTTACCCCCCGTTGGGAGTGCTCATTTCTGTCTCCCAGACTCACTCAGGTGCCACCAGGATCCAGGCAGGTACTATGACCATCTTCTGAACGACTGCGTCAGCTGTGCCTCCACCTGTGGACAGCACCCCCAGCAGTGTGCCCCCTTCTGTGAGAACAAGCTCAAGGGATGGCGCCACGTGAACGTTTCTCCAGAGCTCCGGTGGCAGAGGAATGGGGAGGCTGGAGCCAAGCAGAACGACTCAGGGAGGTACCAGGGGCCAGAGCCCAGAGGCTCGGAGGAAGGCTCAGGTAAGCTGCCTGGGGGTCTGAGGGTCAGAACAAGTGGAAGGGAAGACCCTTGTTCTAAGTATGAAGGGTGGCAAGCAGTACACCCTGAGTTCAGGCACCTGGCCAGAGACGCCAGGTGGGCATCGTAGGGTAGGAGCAAGGTAGGTAGATGTCAGAAGTCGATGGGTGTGAAGAAAGCAGAAGAAAGGATGGTGGTAGGAGCCTTCTAATGGGGGTGCTGAGTCAGTTCTACCTGTTCTATGGGGGCACCGTATGTCAGAATCAACTGGATGGCACTAAGCTGGCTTTGGCCGAGGCAGGGTAAGTTCTCTAAACACAAGGCAGCATGTCTCAGCAGGGCAGGAGCCTGAACTCATGTTTGCAGAGACTCCCATTGGCCGCAGAGGCTGCCTAAGAATGAGAAGGGAAAGTTATTACCAAAATGCTTAGCGTAGAACTGGCCCTGTGCGCCTGGCAATAAGGGTGCCCTGAGCTGGGCTACAAAGTGCCAACCCATCCTCCTAAACCAAACAGCTCCTGACCCCCTTGTCCTGCTCCACAGCGGCAGGAAGGAAGGGGTGAGGGAGACCATGGAATGCGGGTACATTTGAAATGATGTCAGCATGGTCCTCACCCTATTTATGGACAGACAACAAGCCCACAACTCCGGGGAGGCCTGTTAGTTGATTTCTCTTTCCTGTGACTCTGGACCCTCCTACTGAGACAACAAGAGGAGGGGCCTGTCCGAGGTATATGGGGGCAGAAGGAGGGCACTTGTCCCTAGGCACAAGATCCAGGGGGTGGTCAGATGAGACCGGCTGGAGAGTCATCCCCCATTTCTATGAAGCTGATTGGGGTGGGGGTGGGGCACACATGTAGAGACTGCCCCTGGACACATGTTATTCTAGATATGCCTCTGAGGCCCGCGTGACCAGCTACTTGGTGGTTGCCCAGAATTGGATAGACTGTAGTCATGTCAGTTACTACTGCATAGCAAACCCTTCTAAGCACATGCCATCTTCCCAACATGGCTGAGGGTTGGCTGGGGCCAGGTGATGGTCACAGGTCTTGTCCTCATCCCGGGACTAGTGGGTTTGCCAGGTGGGTCCCTCTCACGACAATGGCGGAGGTGCAGGCAGGAAGCCCCACAACTTGGGTTGGAGCCATGTCATCTCTTCCAAAGCAATCGGCGGGTCAGTTCCCAACGAAGGCTGCGGAAACTGGCTGTGGTAGGGACCTCTCCGTACGGAACAAGCTGGCGCTTCACATCGTCGCATGTGCCTGCTTCTGTGAGTCGGTGGTCAGGGCTTGGCTCAGTGATAAAGCTTTTGTGGGTTGCATGTGGATTCCCGTGGGTGGTGTAGCTTCCACGCAGGTTATGTGTAGGTCCTCGGATGTGGATGTTGTGAAGGTTATACAGGATTGCATGCAGATTTGTGGGTGCTCAATGAGGATTTTGGGTGCGTTGCAGATGCATCACAGGCAGGGTGTAGATGGCACGGACGTAATAAGGAGAAAAGAAAGACCATAGGTTCGACGGGCCCTAGGGAGCAGCAGCAAGCCCTCCTGACCTCTGGATGTCCCCTGTCTTGTAGTGCCCCAAGGACTGAGGCTAAGTGGGGGCCAGCTGGCCCTAGTCTACACCACGCTGGGGCTCTGCTTCTGTGCCGTCATCTGCTGCTTCCTCGTGGCGGCGGCCTGCTTCTTCAAGAAGAGAGGGGGCCGGTGCTCCTGCCAGCTGCCCGCCGAGTCAGGCCACACTCAGGCGGATTCTTCACAAGGTGAGCATGGCAGTCGCACACGCTGGGAGCAACCTCCTTATTTCATCATTGCCCAGTTCCACGTGGGGGCATTTTGCCAAACTGAGCTCATCCCTTTAGGATTTCCTCTTTCCAGGTGAGGTCAGGCAAGTAGGGATGTGGCGTCTGAGGAAGAAGGAGCAGGCACCCGTCATCGGGAACGTCTAGGTCAATGGGGGAGCTAGCTGGCTGTCACCACCGAATCTGTATTGTTTGGGGATGGATGCAGGCGGGAATGTCAGTCAGAAGAGAGGTGAGGGCTGGGCTTTGGTGGGCCTCACTGAGTTAGGGGTTTATTCTGTAGCTAGCAGACCTGGGAGCCCCACGGTTGGACCAGGTGGAGGGTCAGGTGGAACTAAGAGAGGGAAGCAGTGTCAATTCACCAGTTTGCAAAAAGGATTCCCACGTCCTCAGTATCGATGCCTGTACCAGAGGGCAGACCTGCTGATGCCTTTCTGGGTTCAGGGACAAGGAGGAAGGTGGGGTGGGGGTCAATCCCTTTCCATGTCTTTCTTAGATCATGTGATGGAAGCTGGAAGTGCTGGCGGCAGGACTCCGGAACCAGTGGAAACCTGTAGCTTTTGCTTCCCGGAGCAGAGGGCACCCACCGAGGAAAGCTCAGGGGGCCACAGGGGACAGGGCCTGCCGGCACAGAGGTGGTGGCCCCTGCCGGGAACCGCATCCATGCTGCCTTCCTCCAGCAATCAGGGCATTGGCCTGAAGATCATATGTGCTCCTTCCCAGGAAAGGGGCCCCACCACGTAGAGCTGTGGGCTGCGATAGACACAGATACAGAGAGAAGCCAGGGGTGGGGGTCTCCCCTCTCCTTGACTCTAGTTCTCCATGTAAGCTGTAGCTCACGATGACCGAAAAACACACACAATAAAGTCATCTTTGCTTGATGCTTATGCGCTGAGAACCCAATCCGATCGAAACCCATCCCTGGTGGCTGTGGCTCCTCACACGTGGTCTTGGCGGGGTTGTCACACCGGCGCTCCTGGTCTTGACCCACTTCGAAGGCACCGTGTCTTGAAGGTCTCACTGAACTCATGGTAGAGTTTATTAACTTGGGTTGGATGATAAGTGATTGGGTGTAAGTGACAGTAGGTCTTTGCTGCTCTCTTGCCCTGAAGAAGATAAGACTAAAAAAGGTAACCACTAAGACTGGGGAGTGGGCTGTCGACATTACTTTTTTTTAACAGACTCTTTCTTTTTGAGGCTTAGTAAGGGAATGAAGTGTGTGTGTGTGTATATGTGGTTGGTTGGTTGGGGTGGACAGGAAAGCAGGTAGTTCAAGTTCAATGGGTCAAGTTACCCTCAAAGAATGAATGATATTTTCCTGGGAACAGAGCAAGAACGGGTTTTCATTTGCATTCCAACTGTTGCCATATCTAACTCGCCATTTGCTGGAGTATTTACTTTGTTTTCTTTAACTTGACCAACTTTTTGGATATACCTACTTTAACCTCATAACATGCTACTACATGTTATGAGTTCTGAACAGTATACTAAGCATTGGCAACGGAACATTCACACATTTTAGATATTTTTATTAGCATTAAACCTGGATCTTCAGTAGTAATTTAAACCTTTGTGTAACAGTTCTTCGAAGCATTTTCACATTTTGAGAAATATGTGGTTATTTAAGCTAAAATAATTCATCCTGAGTAACCTACAACTATCTTGCGTACCTTCAACTATTAGAGATTCATATAACACACGCTGGGAAGTCTAGATCCAGGGCCTGTTGCTCCACCTCATAGTTTAACTTCTCACCAGTCGCAGGCTAGCAGGCCCTCCTTCAGGGAGCCTCTACCACATTGTTGTCCGCAGGCAAGGAGGCATCTAGACAATATCTTCCCAAGACAAGTGCTGATACATCATAAAGTCAGTCCAACGTAGCAAATGCATGTCTGACTGGCTGTTTTCTTTCATCATACTTTCTTACAACAGAGGTGGCACACAGCCCTGTGGCTGGGCAGACACTTGTAAAGTGACATTGCACCGTATGATGACGCCCGTGCTTTGGATCTATAACTTCATATTCTGCTCATTTGAACTTGAAGGTTCTTGGGGGATTAGAGGGGACGTTTGGGGTACTGAGAAGACCAGGTACTGTGTCCCCTACTCCAACTTCACTCAGACAAGATAATCTGGGAGCTTCTTTTGCGGGAAGGGTTGCTTTTAAATGGATTCTTGTACAGTTTGATTTTTTTTTTTTTAAGGAAAGGATTCTGTGCTGGATAGATGGTCTAAAAATAACTGCTCTAAATACTGGCAGTCTTATACATTCTTTTAGGTCTGATCCCTCCAAAATAGATCCCAGTTCCAACCACTCATCATAGTTGCTTTTATCTAGGATCCTACCATTTCTCACCTGGGTAAGAAAACCAGCCTCCCCACTGGCCTCCCTGTGGCCACTTAAGAGCTCCTACTCCAGGGGTTGGCCAACCCTTCTGTAAAAGTCCCAAGAGTAAAAATTTAGGCTTTGTAGGTTGTGCAGTCTCTGAAGGACCTACTCAATAGATACTCGACTCTGTTGAGTGGGAAAGCACCCAAAGGGCATGACTGTGCGCTAATAAAACTCTTACAGAAAGAGGCAGTGGTCCCGAGTTGACTCGCGAGTCATAGTGCACATGGCAAGACTGGGCTTTATATTTATGACCCTTAAAAAAAATGTAATGGTCGCCCAAGCTTTAAAATACCTATCTTCAATTAATCAGTCATCCTTCAAATAATAACATACCTTTTCAACAGTATATTGACAATGCACTCCTGATCCTTCTCTCCTGGTGTGTGTGTGTGTGTGTGTGTGTGTGTTCATACATGTAATTCTTCCATGTTCTGTACACTCACATTACCTTGCTGTTTTAAAATCTAGAAAGTTACAATCTTCTAGAATGCACCCCCCTAGCTTTTCCATGAGACTCTTCCTTAGAGTTGCCATTTCTTCTGAAATTCCTATGCACGTGGTTCATCTTTTCTGTTAAAACCTTCAACATTTCAATCATATTATTTCCTTTATAATAAAATCGCTCCAGGATTGAGATCATTCGAGTCTGGTTCTGTTGACGATTTGTCTCTTGACAGTGGGTGGATGTTACTTACTCTTTTCTGTGTCTTGTCATTTTTAACTGAATTGCAGACGTGAGCAGGACAGTAGAGGCTGGGGTACGAATTATTTATACCTGGAAATGGGCATGCTTTTTCTTCGCGTCATTGGTATGCCAGGTTGGGTTGAGCTGGATTTGCATTTTGTTGTTGTTGTGGTTACCTTCAACCCACTCCCTGAACTGAGTCCATATTGACTCTATAAAACAGAGTAGAACTGCCCCTGTGGGGTTCCAAGACTGTAACTCTTTATAGGGGTCCAAAACATCACCTTTGTCCCTCAGAATGGTCGGTGGTTTCGAACTGCTGGCCTTACAGTTAGCAGCTCCACTCATGACCCACTGCCCCACCACTGTCCTTCAACGTTGCAACTGAGACCCTGTTCTGAAGTCGAGGGCGGACTTGCCAATGTTTTTTCACAATGTCCCTGCTTCACTTCTAGCTTTACACCTTCCCCAGGTGTGGGGAGAAATGCCAGCCCCCCACAACTAATCGTGGGTTCGATAGGCGCAACTGTACGGTTAAGATATATAAAGATTATAGTAAAGTCCTAGAGAGCATGAGAGATAGAAGAGAGATAGAAATAATGGAGTCAGACACATTTCATGGTAGCATGTTCACCTCCTGGATGGCCATGATCTTACCAGCCAGGTCCACGCAGGTCCAGTAGCTGGCTGGAGACCCCGTTTATTGCTAACCAAGGGTTTTATCTACTCAGGGGGTTGTGATTACAGGTCACCACACGTCCCAGCGAAGGGCAGTACAATCGGCATATAAGCAATAGGAGGGGCATAGACAATGGGCATAGGCGTAACAGGAAGAGGATGAGCTAAGGGTGTACACATGATAGGAAGGGGAGGGACTAGGGGTATACATGTGACAAGAAGGGTGGACCCTAGATTCATGATGGTGGCCTAACCTGGTCACCCCTGAGTGGGCTTGACCTCTCTGGGCTCTCCTACAAGGAAACAGTTTACTACTATCCTCATCAGAAGGGAGTGGGTCCTACTTGTTGTGGGATAAACAGTGGTGACCGCTTGCTCTAGATGGCTGATAACCCTTAGGGAGAATAACCCCTGACCTCCTTCTGTTGACCTCCAAGTGTACAGTCATCTGCCACGTGTAGCAAGCAGCTAAGTCTGGCATTGGGGGGAAACAACTTGGGAGGAAACTTTGTGTTTCCCACACCTAGGCAGCTCGGCCTCCGACAGTTTTTTCCCTCCAGAGTCTCCTCTCTCTTAGTAGCTTTTATTTAGTATTTCGTGCCCATTCTTGTTCCCGTCTCAGTCCCAGGCAGGCCCCAGGTTTTTTGTCAGGTGTCCTTGAGTCTGCCTCAACTCACAGCAACCCGATGCACACCACTGCCTGCGGGCGGGACACTGTCCAGGGCACATCCCACAAGAGTTCTATCCTGGGGAGGGATCCGGATCACTGGAAAAGCTACAAGTCCCTAAGCTTGATGAAGACCAGAGACACACAGCCTGTGGATTACAATTCGATGAAAAGACGAAGATCCTCCCAGCTGGACCAGTGGACCGCATCATGACAGACAGAGAAAAGACAGACGTTGTCAAGGGTTTCATGTGACTTGGATCCACCATCAGTGCTCGTGAACCATCAGGCAAGAACTCCAGCGGCATACGGCACTTGGCAAGCTGCAGCACAAGGTCGCTTTAACGTGTTACACAGCCAAGTCCAACTCTTAGCGACACTTGGCCCGGTCCCACGCCATCCTCACAAGTGTCCTTATGTTTGGGCCTCTTGTTGCATCCACTGTGTCCATCCATCTTGTCGAGGGCCGCCCTCTTTTTTGCTGGCCCTCTGCTTTACAAGCATGCCGCCCTTCTCCAGGGACTGGTCTTTACTAACGACATGTCCAGAACACAGGAGACAACGTCTCACCACCCTTGCTATTCAGGAGCATTCTTGGCTGTACTTCTTCCGCGACAGATTTGTTAGTGTCACCCCATGTGGTGGTGGCTGTCACGCCAGAATGAATAAATCTAAACCAGATGCTCCGGATCTGTCTTCTAGCGTCAAGCTCCTCCCCGCAAAATCAACTTCAGTACATGCTGCACTACGCAACTGTTTTTGTGTCATGTTTTAAGTTTCCTTGGAATGAAATCAGACGCCCGGATCTGCACCGAGGTGCAGCTGTAGCACACTGGGGGGAAGGTCTCAGGTTCGCAGCTCACAAGATGACTTCGCAGAATTGATGTCGACGCTCATGATCGAGCCCTCGTTTCCTCCACTGTAGGAGTGCTGCTTGTAGCGGGTTCAAAGCTAAGCCCTTTAAGATGACAGAGCAGCTTCACCCAACGTCATACACCCTCACCGGAGGCCATACCCTTCTTGGGTGACCTACATCCAGGGACACAGCTCTGTGGGAGTAGAAATGGCCAGTCCTTTCTGTGGGGATGGCCCGTGGGGCTGCGTTTCAGCCCGACTCCTCCCTGTGCTTGACCTTGCTGCTTTCACCAGGCGCTGAGTGCCAGCCCTAAGGCAGGCTCACTCCTGCCACCTAGTTGCTACTCACAGTGATCACGTAGGCGAATGCCGCAGGAGTGGTGAACTTGAACACGGCTTGGATGGGGCTTTCCCCCAACCCAACCCAGTCTAAGATGACTTGCTTTCTAAAGAGAGTTCTTCTTTAGAATTTTTAAAAAATCATTTTATT